GTGTGTGTGTGTGTGTGTGTGTGTGTGTGTGCGTGTGCGTTCGTTCGTGTGTGTCTGTTAGCGCACGTGTGTGTTGCACTGTTGCATGATTAGCCACACCTCTGTTATTCCAGGAATCTTTTCATTAATAACAACAGGAGTGAATAATACTAGACTATTATTATCTATTACAGTGGCGTAGACAGGTCCTCAGGTGTGGGGGGATGATTTCGCTGTTACTTCCATCGCAAACTATGCGAAGCGTGTGTGCGCATAGCGCACACCGCGAGCGCATTGGCGCGAAGCCCTTAAGGGGTGGGGTCCAGGGGGCGGAGCTCCCGGAAGCTCTTGGATTTTAGCAATTTAGAACCTTCAGGATGGCTGTTTTTGAAGGAATTGAAAAAAAATGAAATTGTAAGTGCAATATTTGTGAATTCTAGGGTAATTTCTTTCTTTGGATCCCAGAGATTTAATAACACGCACCACCCTCGCCCCCACACACACACAACCAGTGGCGGATCCAGAAGTGAATTCTATGGCGGGGGCGAATCATGCGAGCTCAAGCGCCTGAGGGGGAGGGTGTTGTAGGGGGTATACCCCTCCCACTGTGTGGAATTGTTAAAAAGTTACAATCTAAAAGTCTAATTTTGGACATCTTTATCCTAAAATATCAGGAGACTTTTCCTCCTTCAGGGGGTGTCCCCCTCCTGTTTAGGGGGGTCCGGGGGGACTCCCCCCAAAATTTTGTTGAAAATTACACCTCTTAAAATTTCCTGCATTCTGAGGCATCATTATTAAACAATCTTCATCACAATAATATCACTGTTGAGTTGAGTATTTTTTATCTTTGGGGACACAAGAGACTAAAATACTTACTACTAAATCTGTGCTATGTACATGTCCTCACTGGGGTTACTACCAGTGCAGACTTACCTAGGCTAAAATACCCTTGCCTTGAAAATTCTAGTGGGGCGACCGCCCCCTCCCCCCCGGATCCGGCACTGACAACTACAGCACTGGAATCATCTCCCCCCTGAAATTTTGATAAAACGTATATTTTACTGAGAACGCTAAAACTGTACAAAAGAAGTATGAGAAAAACGACCAGATTTGAACCAAAAAGTGCATTATTATTTTTACCCGTTATACAAAATCGGAAATACACTTCCGGTCCGGTCTCAGCACCCCCCCCCCTCAAAAATGTGATGAAATTGAATTTGTCCCATTCAATCCCAGTGAAAATTCAATATCCCAACTCTGAATAGGTCTATTCTAATTTTGAATAAAGCAGGGATTTAACTTTCGTGAGCAATGATAAGACGTGATTTGGGGATTTTGACAAAAAAATCGTATATGGGGAATCCGTCCAAAATTAACCGCTTGAGTTTCAGTAAAATAATGTCATTCTTGGAACGAGTTACAGACATTTTACAGTAGAAGTATGTCACTTTCCATTTGTGTAATAATACATCAAGAGAGTATGAATAGCGATGACGGATTGGTAGATAAACGTTCAGTTATATTGTCTGTAAAATATGAAATTTTTCTCCATTTTGCTCCTGAAAGTAGGGGGGGAGGATGATTGTACACGCCATCCCCCCCCTCAATAAGTCGGGAGATATATCCCCCCCGCTATCTGCGTCCGCCACAGGACTCTCTCTCTCTCTTTCTTTAGCGAGCAGAACAGTGACAGCGCTAAATGCAAGAAGCCAAGGAGGAAACGCACAGCCTTCACGCATGCGCAGTTGGGCTACCTGGAGCGCAAGTTCCGCTGTCAGAAGTACCTGAGTGTCGCGGACCGCAGTGACGTAGCAGAGGCTCTGCACTTAACGGAGACCCAGGTGAAAACCTGGTACCAAAACCGCAGGTAATGCCGCGCGCAAACTCACGGTCACCGCTGGTTAACTGGCGCTCTAGCGCAGAAGCGGATACGGAATAACACCAAGAGTGTCGTAATATAGACACTATAATATACATTTATATAT